TTGGCCTAATAGCAAGCCTATATACCAGTACAGAAAGTGCTGTAAAGTGTGGTGGGGCCTGTCGAACTTCTTCCCTGTTAATTCAGGGGTGAGGCAAGGCTGTGTCCTTGCACCAACACTTTTCACACCTGTATGGACTGGATAATGGGCAGAGCTACTACCCAAAGTCAGTGTGGAGCAACAATGGGCAATATCAAGGTCTTAGACCTTGATGTTGCTATCCTATCTGAGTCTCTGGAGTCACTAGTGGCAGCTCTTGATGCATTTAACAATGAGGCGAAGCCCTTGGGCCTGGAGGTCCCCTGGACCAAGTCCAAGATCCTTTACCTTGCGGGTCTGTTAGGGGAACCAGTTCAGTCAATCCATGTTTGCAGTGAGGACATTGAAGTCACAGAGAGCTTTGCATACCTTGGTAACGTAGTCCATATCTCTGGGCTGCCTGATTCAGTAGACTGATTGGTCTGGCAGCAGGAGCCATGAACTGAATAAACAAGAGCATTTGGAGATGTTGGTATCTATGCAGAAGGATCAAGGTACATGTCTTCAAGGCCTTGAGACTGCCAGTTTTACTCTATGGACCTGGACGCTATCTAGTGCCTCGGAGTCTCGTCTTGATGCTTTTTATAACAAGTCTCTTCGCCGGATCATGGGGTACAGTTGCCAGGACCGACGGCTACACCGTGAGACTGGCATGGGACCTGTTACTTGCATATTCCGGGATCGCCAACTCAAGCTATATGGGCACCTAGCTCGTTTTCCTTGTGGATGATGCTGCTCAATAGATTGTCTCTCTGTGAGACAATCCTGGGTGGAGGAGGCCCATGGGACGACCTAGGAGGTTATGGTTTGGGCAGTTCGACGAGACTGCGAGAGGGACACTCGTGGCTGGAAACGAAGGATGGATGCGGCCATGCGCCCCCGTCGGCGTTAGCTCCCCAATATATATATATATATATATATATATATATATATATATGCGTGTGTGTGTGTGTGTATATATATATATAGACTGCCGCGATAGCTCAGTGTTTAGAGCATTGGACTCCGACCCTCGTGGTCCCGGGCTCAATTCCTCGTCGCGGCAGTCGTAAAAATGCCTGTGCTCTCACTGCTGCTTCGAGCCCGAGAAAACGACATATCGGCTTGAGAAGTCAAACGCAGGTGTCGTAGGGGTAGTCACCGCCGTGGCACAAGTGTTAACGCGCCGAACCGCAGTTGATTAGGAAGGGCATTTAATCAGGCAAGGGTGACACTGCCATATAACCTCTCAATACTGAATTGAGAGAGGCCTATGTCCTGCAGTGGAATGAATGGCTCTTGAAAAAAAATATATATATATATAAATATATATATATATATATATATATATATATATATATATATATGCATATGTATACGTGTGTGTATATATATACATAATATATATATGATATATATAGATAGATAGATAGAGAGATAGATAGATAGGTAGATAGATAGATAGATAGACAGACAGATAGATAGATGGATAGAGAGATATAATATGTATGTTATATATATATATATATACTTGCATATATACATATACATATGTAATTACATACATACATTCTGGGTAGGCAGATTAACAGACAGAAAGATTCATTATTTCAATTTAACTTTAGCAGTAACTTTAAAAAATTTAAATCCATATCCTTTTAACCAGTCACGTCACATACATCCATGCCATGCCCACTTGTTTAACCCATTGCCGCCGGGGAAAATGAATAAAAAATGGGGATAATGCTGTACTCATTTTTTATATTTTTGTGAAATATCTCTGTACATAGATGGCTCTGCTAGTCCTGATTTCACCTTTCCTTGAACTGGCAGGAAAAAACATATTTTTACTAGTGCTATAAATATAGATGGTGCTATTTTTAACAGCAAATTAGGATAACGTTAAATATTTTCATAAATTGATGAAAAGGGTGAAAAATGTGTAAAAACAATCAAACAAGTCGACTCTCAGTGGGCATGGCATGTACGTACATGCCATCCCCGGCGACAATGGGTTAATTGTTTTTACACATAGATGGCTACACTTGTACTAAATCACCAATGAGTCAATTCGGAGTACTGCCTATCTAGTCCATTTACCCTTTTCTTTGATTTCTGAAAATATTTTACATTCTCTTATTTTGCTATAACTAATGTTAATATTATAGTAATTATAATGTTTATAATAAAAATAACACCATCAATATTCATAGCACTAGTAAAAAATACATTTACCCACCACGGCAAGGAAAGGTGAAATCAGGTAAGGCAGAGCTATCTATGTGTAGAGACATTTCACAAAATATATAAAAAATGAGTACAGCATTTTATATATATATATATATATATATATATATATATATATATATATATATATATATATATATATATATATATATACACACACACAGATCACATGTTTTTTTTTTTTCTGAATGGGTGCTTACTGTATATCAATTTGGAATAAAATAAAAAATGAAAC